AATCTACATCAATCTTATGAAAATAAAAATGCATCGCAGAAACTTAAGCGAAGTCTTTCAACGGTCGTTCGAAAAACCAAAAAAACGGTAAATTTACACGGAGGAGGGTTTCCTTTTACAGAGACTGACAAAGAATCAATAACAGCAACACGTCCTTTGCGTAAATCTTCATCCGCTATAAATCTACAACAATCATATGAAAATAATGGTGTACCACCGAAACTTAACCGAAGACTTTCGGTAAATTTACACGAAGGGGGTCCTTTTTTAATATTGGATAACACACCACATCCATCTTTACGTAAATGTTCGTCCACTTCAAATCTACAACAATCGTATAAAAGTAATGACGCGTCACTGGAACTCAAACGAAGTCTTACAACGGTTGTCCGAAACAAGTCAGTAAATTTACATGAAGAGATTCCTTCTTCGACAAACCCTAAAAAGAAATTTTCATTGCCATTTTTACGTAAACAGCAAACAAATGAAAATAACAGCGCACAAAATCTCGAACGAAATCATTCCGAAGTTGTTCCAATAAACGATTCTTCGACAGATACCGATAGCATATCAATTTCATCAATTTCATCGAATGAGAGTCAAAGTTCAACAAGTACAGCCAATACGACGGATATGACAAAATCGACCAATAAATTACTTTATCTATTAAACAATTTTAATGGTGCTTTAAATGGTAGTAGCCTTGGAAGAAATGTTAAAGATAAAAAACGAAAAAAATATAATTTGACTGAAATAATGGTTAGCAATGAAATAAGAATTACATCTTCGGATTCAAAGGATATAATGGACGATTATGGTTGCTCCTTCACAAAAAATTATGTACATACTTCGCATACTATAAATACGAGCATTTATTACAATCAATGTGGGTCAGCCGGTACTGACAATTTACCTAATTTGCCTCAAATAAAATTAAATGAAGAAACCTTACCCATCTCAAACAAAATCGTTCCACTTCCCGCGTTGATTAAAGGAGATTTACTAAAGGAACCATTGCTTTTACCTCCATCGATCAAAATTTCTCCAAGCTCAGAATACGACGACATTACAGGAACGTGGCCATTCGCACAATTTCCAAAAAGGTCATCATTTAACAATAGATCCAATTTACATCTTCACGACAGGAAAAATTCATCGTCACGTTCACCACCAACAACTGATCAACGACCTCCCATACCGAATTGTTGTATTTATGGAGTATGTAAGAGATGTAAAAGACATCGTACGGGAATGACATGGTGTCAAACATGTTTTCCCAGGATTTTTAAGCATAATTTCAGTTGGACTAGTGAAAATGATTTAGTTGATGAATTGATCAAGAACTCTCAATTATACTCTAATAATATATGTGAATTATTGGAGTGGATACCATTTGAAAAATTTAAAGATTTACAATGGATCGGAGAAGGTGGTTATGGTGATACGTATTGGGCAAAATGGATCGATGGGAAAATAATTGATTTGAATGAAGATGGCAGTTGGGATCGAATGGGAGAGAACGATGTGGCCTTAAAGATATTGCACAACTCTCAAAGTATTTCTCAAGAATATTTGGATGCGTTCGTCGCGTATCAAAAACGTACATCAAAGTTAAACAATGTATTGAAATTTTATGGAATATCAAGGGACCCATTCACAAAAAATTTGATCATGGTGATGGAGTACGCAAAAGATGGAAATTTAAGAGATTATTTAATTAATAATTTCATGAACGTCACATGGACCAAACGTATTTCTATGCTTTATGATATCGCCCAATCATTAAAATCAATCCATGAAGGCAAATTAATTCATAAAGATTTACATTCTGGTAATGTATTTATTCACGATGATCAAGCTTTTGTCGGGGATTTGGGTTTTTGTTCAAAAATTCGAAAGAAATTTTCATCATCGGCATACGTAGCACCAGAATTATCCAAAGGGGATCAATTCATTATGGCTACCATGGCCTCGGACATTTATAGCTTTGCCATGATAATGTACGAATTAGCAACTTTTATACCTCTGTATCCTAATTATTCTGATGATGAATGTGGTATACATGAAGGGACCAGTCAAATCATTTTGAAAGGAATCCCGAATTGTTACGTTGAATTAATGACTCAATGTTGGTCTCAACGTCCTGAAGAAAGGCCTAATGCTGATCACATCGCTCAAACCATTAAAGGTTGGAATATGACCGGGAATTTATTCTCGGCATTAATCTAAACAGATGAGTCTGAAAATTTTATTGAATTTATATGTTTTAAGATAAATAAATATTTTATGGCTGCGCCATAATTTAATTACGCGTGTAAATGAGTTGACAAAAAAATGTTACTGAACATAAATAAAAACCATGAAGAAATGCCCTAATCTATGGGTTATTGTTAAATATATTTTTTCCTGATTTCTTTCAAATATATTTCTTTAATCTTATCATCCTGTATATGAATGACAGCACCATGTCTTGAAGCGGAACTAGAGGATTTATCTATAAATATCAAATCGGGAATGTAAGGTTCGGTAAATTCCTTTTTATATTTATCAATAAATTTTTGATTGACTAGATCAACTAGATATTTTGTATTGAAACAACTACCGATTAAGAATATCATTGAATATGAATGATCTTCCGTAAAGCTATGTAAATGGTCTATTAAATAATTAACAATATCATTTGAAATCTCTTCACAAATATTTTGTATCTTTTTCAATTTAACAGGCAATTTCCAATTTAATTCTTCTATAATTTCTTTTGATTCATTTTTCAAGTAAACCGATAATTGATGTCTAATTATTTCAATATCTAATTGTTCGAAACAATCATCATCCTTCGTTGAGACGGCAAAAAAATTATTGTTGAGGAATTCGTAAATCTGCCCTTGAATTTCGTTAAATGAATAATTTGATTTTTGATTGATTAAATCCTTTTGTAACAAATGTGATAGGTTTGACTTTGATAATAACGCTGATATTATGCATGAATTTATATTCTTAACGCTGGTTTGATAAGTTGAATCCGATAATGATGTCGGTGATATTAGTGACCTTGTTGACAGGTTAATTGAATTCGATTCACACGTCGTAAAGAAAAATGAATCTATAAAAGAAACTGGTATTAAAATACGAACCATTAACCAGTTAGGATTAGTCAAGCTATTTGTTTCTACTCACCTCCAACTTTTAATGATTCATATTCAACGTTGTCAAGACAATTTAATGCCAACGCTTTTGCTTAAAGAATAAATGAAAATAAAGAAATATATAAATATAATTTTACGATATCGTTTTTTATACGCGTATGTTTAATTTATTATTTACTATTTATTATTCTTATACCTTGATTAATAAATTGGATTTCATTCACTTTAGAATATATAATTCCGGAATTTAATGTGGAATCTATGATCATTTCTCTAATTGTTACTCCCTAACGTGTTTTAAATTAAATTAAATTAATTGTAAACTAAAAAAAAGAAAAATTAAATCATCTTGGACCTAAAATTTTTTTTTTAATATATAATTTTTTTTTTACCCAAATATCTGGTATAATATAAAGTATTCCAACGTGAGGTATGGTGCCCAAATCAGGCCATTTCTTATTTATCGATTTTCTTATCGCCTATACCAAAAAAAATTCTTAAAATATTATATTATTTGTTTTATGTTGAAATGGTTAGCTTTACCTTTAGAATTCCTAGCAAGTAATGGCAAATCATTTGTTTATAATTTAATTCTGGTGGTATCCAAAACTTTTCTTCATCAACAAATAATTGAAATGTAAATAGTTCTTTAGGTAGATGATGTTCATCATCATCATCATCATGATGTTTTGGTGATGATAATGCTGATTTAATTTCTTCTAATACGGGAAATCCAATGCTTTTGGTCGAATTATATGATTCGTCATATTGCATTATGGCCGGAATTTTATAAGATTCATGTTGTTGAAATATCCTTGTAAAAAAAAAAAAAAATTAAAAAATTTTTTTTTATATTGATAAAAGTAGAAGGATGATTACCCTTCTTACCATGGATTTGTAGAATGTGCTTTATATTTTCGAGAAAATGCTGCGAAATCGAGAGCTTTTGATAACATTAAAATAATTCTATATAACCTTTTAAAAAAGGGGGGGGGGAATAATAAACATAGTGTTTACTTACTGGTATAAACTGGCCCGAGTTCTTTTTTTTATCAATAGTATTATGTTAGTATCGCATTCAAAGTGAAGACGATATGTTAAAACACTAACAATAGAGACAAAACAATTAATGCATACCTATAGTTACTAACACTCGTACATCCTCATCAATGCACCTTTTATAATTCGCCATCCAGATAAAAAAAAATTGGTTTCAAAAGAAAAAAAAATTTTTTGATTAATTTTATAAGGTAAATTAACTGAATTTGTTAATTGGTTTGATCCATTTATAGAAACATGTTTTTAAATTAGGGATCAAATATCACGTCCAAGTCAAATAAATCAATCGTGGCTTTCAATACTTTTATTTCCTTTAACCTTTCATATGACGTGGGGGAAGCTTTGTTGTGTAATGTACAATTTTATTTTTGGTTGAATTTGATACTATTTTTAATTTCCTTTTTGTGATTCTTTAAATCGTGATGATGTCATTGTAATTTTTAGAAACATATTTCTGAAAATTGGTTTCAGAACCGAAAAAGGACTGGACCGGTTTTAACAGGAAACAAGTCTGCTGATCAGGAATAACCGATTCGGTCGACTGTGTGAGACATAAATATATCAACAACTTCGTGGTGTCTTTTTAAAAACAAATCATTGGGTAAATTCGGTAAAATTCGAGTTTTTTCAATTATTTTTTATTAAAAAAAAAAATATGATGTGCTAATAGTCACGTGCGATGGCTACAATTCTTCGTCACGTGAGATATAGATATTAAAAAACATAAGAGACAAACACTTTCGCTGATTGGTTTATTAATATCTTCGTGTGACAATTAGGTACCTATACCAACAATCCTAACATATCAGCTAAGTTTCACATCAAGTGTTGTGTCTCAACGAATAGTAGAATCATACGATTCCCGATCATATCATCCTTTTACTCATGGATCAAAATATCACAATGTGCAAAATACATTAGATTAACATCATTAGTCTAACCAGCTTCCATTTATAAAGACTGGGGTAACTTCATTGATGATTCTATCAGAGTAACTTTCATTCATCGATTTTGATTCTCTTGAGTAAATGATATCAAGAACCAACGTTAATGGTACAAGATAATTAGACCAATTTATGCATTCACAATCTTCTCGTTTTTCTATTCTATTTCGAGATGTCAATTTCAGTAAGCTAAGTACATTCTATCATGATGAGAGAACAGTCAAAACGGGATGTCACATTCTGTTAACATCAACAATCGCATCTAACACACCTCATGTACGAAAACGCTCCAAGAATACATTTACTACTTACGTCAATGTTGGCATTTGGCCATGGTCAATGGCCAAATAAAAATTTTGGCCGCGGCCAAATGCAAACTAAATACTAAATACTTACTTACATATTTATGTTTGAGTAATCGCCATTTTGGCCATTTATCTATTTGGCCATGTCCAACCGGCCAAAAAAATTTGCCAAATGCCGATTTCTACATCGATTGGAAAAACCGAAACATTTTGCTTGATGAATTCCCACACTCTAAATTCAAAGCCTTTTTGCCTGCAATTTACATGGCTATGTAATAATATTCTGCCCAAACGATCAATAAATGATACCGGCTCAACACCAGAAGACTCTTCTGATCCGGAGCAAGCAAAAAAGAATTGCGTGCGGTGCTATTAGATTTTCCTGGTGAAATGTCAAATTTTAAAGACGCCAAATTATTTATTTATTTCAAAAAGTATAAAATTCTCTCTCAGTCGATTTCCCAAAACCGTAGTTATGAGATTTGAACGATAAAAATTAACAAACTTGTTTTGCAAGTAAGAAATTGATTTTCTTTTTCGATCATACACCTGAATGAAGTTTGAAATTTCGTTAAAAATTTCCTAGAGCTGATCATGTTGATCCTTCATAGATAATTGGAATGAACCTTATCTCTCATTTCAGAGGATATTTTAAGCAACTTCTTTCATAGGTTCGTTAAGATTAATAGTGGATTTAATCTTTCATTTGACTAATAAGATAATAATTTTATACCGATGACAGTAACTCATGAGTGAAGTGAATTGGCACCTTAATCAATAACTTTTATTTCATTTACGTATTACAAAAATAACATCTTTTATAGTATTAAAAAGGAAACAGAATAAAGGTAAATATTGCTTTTTCGAATTTACATAACAATATTTTGTCTTTTATTTTTATTTACACAAATGCAAAATACACTCTTTGAAATCTCAATTTTGCATTTTTGATCACCAGTGACCTTTTAGGGCTTGAATAATATTTATTTCATTGCGTTCAATGATATTGAAGATTACCATTGAATAATTCGTCTTCAATTAGTCTGAAAATTGAAATTACCGACAGTTGCTTGGAATCACAGTGAGATAGCATTGGTTCAGAAGATCAACACCTTAGCATGTGTTCCATTTGCATATTACACAACAACTTGTCGAAACGGAATATGTTCTAGTTTACCAAATATCTTTTCCATTATAGTATTAATATGGAAGGTTCTGTAAAAATATTATATCTCGTATTATTATTTTATACTGCGGGTTGTTGATTTCGAATGCAAAGACACTCTTTTGAAAGACCAATGATCTTGCCGGGGTTCAATTATTTCACAGTATTCAAAAATTTAATCTTACAGCCCAATGTTATTTAAAAATCAATTGCGGAAATTGTGATAAAAATTTGTGATAAAAGGAAAAAAAGGAAGGTATTCTTAATAAATTAGGAAATAACCCCCCAAAATAGTAAAATAAAATATACATGTATGTAGAAATATGTATAAATTGGTTTGTATTGATATTATATATTTTATAGTATGTTTATACTAACAAAATAATTTGTTGTTTAATTTTTCAACATCGCCATATCAATTATGGTTTGGTTTCAAACTCTAAAAGTGCAATGGGGATACCCTTACAATCTTGAAGGCGCTCTCATTATCAAAATGGAAATCGCCATGAATACTGCGCCAGAATGTGGTAACGAATTGACATGATGCTTATTATTTTAAATACTATTCCTTCTAATAAAGGAAATTCAAATCGCAAGTATAGTAAAATCTGTATGGAAAGAAGCGTCGTATTATTATTATTATTATTATTATTCCAAAAGTGTCAAACATAATCGACTGAAAAATCGGAAGTTCTACAATAATAGATTCGGAGTTTTGAAAAATATGTCCTTCGGTTAATGGATATGTGACTTTAATAGATTCATAACCAATCACCAGTTATATTAGCCGGAGTCACCCTTTTAACCAAAATTAGTAATTCCTATTAATAGACCATCACACTTTTTATGGCGAACAATCAAATCGTGCACATGTTATATGCGAAAATTCCATATTGTCACAATATTACTCGTTGAAGGAAAAGTCATTTCGAACAATTTGAATATGAAAAGAAATGATTGGATTTCATAATTGAATAACATAACATACAATCAAACTTGTTCACCACGTTGGGTCTTGGTCAAAAGAATTATTCATGAACATAAATATTCAACAATGCAAATGTAAAAGTTTCCTTTGGAATTGTGATGAAGGTAATACTTTATCACTTTGTCACAAATCCTTGAAGGGCCTAATTGGAATGAATTGGCTATTTTCGGCAAGTGATCAACCGTTGTACCCCAACGATTTTAGTCGCATGGCATTTTCAATTAGCGTTTTTGAAAGTTGGTACTATGCGATGGTATGTATTTTATTCACATGTAGTATTTATTGATTAGGAAGAGAATGAATTCAAACAATAATAATAATAATAATAATAATCGTTCTTTACCTGGAGAATATCCGAACGAATTCCGAAAAAAAGATATTTACGTTGAAATAATTTTTTTAACACAAGGATTCTTGAATATCCGTTTACATTGTGGTAAAGTAATCAAACACGTTCTTAAAAAGAGAGTAAAAGAAAAAAAAAAGAATTTTATTGGCATGGTTAGTTCAAAATGCATTGGAATTATCATTAATATTTGTTATATGTTGTGTCATTATTCACAAGAAAAAAAAATGAGTATGTTTCATTTTTTTTTTTTTTTTTTGTCGCGTCAACGTGTTGACCGCAAAAATGACTCGTCCCAACTTGTTTCAGATGTTACTATTTCCCGAGTCATGCTCGTGTGAAACAAGGGTCGGTGCAGAAACATTAATCCGCATAGTAAACTTCTTAATAAAAATAAGGTTAATGTTTCAGCGAAAGTTTTTTTTTCTATATATAAAGAATATATAGTATGTATCTTTTTTTTTCGTGATCAATTTTAGGTAAAACAGATGGATCAAAAAGCCAAATCCTGCACCTGTTTAATTAACAACAATAAACGTGGGGCGTGAATGAAACAAAGAACCTCCAAAAATGAAAAGATAATTATTTAAGTCACATGATTGAAAAACTTTTAAGGTTGAAAACCTTAAAGCAATGGTTGCATAATTAAATTTCGGAAACCTTTGCCGAATTTCCGATAAATTATTTTTATATTATTAATTTTTTTCGAGAAAATTATGAATTATTATTGTTAACTATTTTGAGGTTTGGAAACAAAATAGAGTCCCACCCTGCATTGAAATGTACATCGAAACGAAAAAAAAAATAAAAATTTCCTTTGTCTTTAACGAAAAAAAAAAAAATAATGCACCATTACATAAATGATTCTATTACAATTGGTCATTTCAACGAGTAGAATAATAGAATCTCATAGGAATCCAATTTGTTTCATGGTTTCGTAAACCGCGAAACTTGACAAGTTGTTAATATCATTATAATGTGGCGCAACATTTAAACCCAAAAGGAGGAAATTTTGCTGTATATCCGATAAAATGTTGATGAAAACAAAAAAAAAAAATTAAAAAATAAAAATAAAAAAGATGGAAAAAAAATGGAAATTGGTAATGAATTATGTTTTATCTGTTTGAGTTTTGGTCACTACTCTCCTTTTTCTGTTAATTTCGCTCCTTGTGATGTTTCAAGAACATTACATCGATTTCCTCCCCCTTATTTTATTTTATTTTTTTTATTTAGGAAAAGTCTCATTTATTGATTGGTTCCTCAAAGTAAATCCACTCACATAGCATACATGTACTAGAAGTTGCATCACATAAAGAAATCAAATCCTTTTGTTTTACTTAAACTAATAAAATTTTATTTTTATTGGATATTTTCGTGTTACAAGTGGTTTTTGCCTAAAATAACCACGTTATACACAAAATAATCAACAATTGAACTATTTACTCTATATCCGAAAATAAATTTTTTTATTTATGTTCTTACTATTGTTTGCATAAATCATCAATTTACCGTTCGGCCTAAACGTTTCAGAAATCTCTTTTTTTTTCCTACGTAACCGCCATTGATCGAAATCTTATAAAATGACCATGATTTTACAAGCAAGTTTCAACAACAAAAAAGAAATAAATATTTCAATCAAGAACAAATAAAGAAAATAATATTACATACATTTTTCCTTACACACTTTTTCACTCTTCACTTCACTCTCTATACCTTACTACTTACTATCTTTCATAAACCAAATTTTCAATGGCTTTGAAATATACCGCAATACTTTTCACCATCTTCCTTTTATTCGTCGTTCAAGTACGTTATTTTATTTATTTATTTATTTTATTTACAATTCATAATTTTGTACGTATATGGAAAGATAACTTACGAGCAATCTTTTCTCTTTTTTTTTTTTTTTTAATAGAATGCATCAGCAGATATAAAGATGATGCAGGTAACTTTCGTAGAAAACTTAAAGTCACAAGAATCCCTTGTCTGTTGTCCAAAGGGCAAATCCAACACAGCATGTAAGTATTAACAAAAGAACAACCAACATCCCATCGATTCAAGTCAAATGAAGCCGTTTCTAACATCATCTTCCTTTAATCCTTTTAGCCCTCACAATATCAAAAGTACAACCCGGAGCCAAAATACAAACAGTTGAAAGCAAAGATTGTATCAGAGCTGAAGACATCAAAGTCATGGGTGATGGCATGGGTGACATGGTATTAACAGCAGTTGTCGTTCCCAAAGATGTATTAGATCAAAAACGTGCAAGTGGCGAACCAATTAATGCCGATAGTGCTGGTTGTAAGGATCCTACCGAATTCTGTATGCAAACTGATTCAATGGAAACAAATGATAATTGTATCGTTGTAACAAATGTCAGCAAAGAAGAAACTCAGATTTCATGTGATTCTGCCGTCTTCAAGCAATAATTGTTTCTTTAGAATCTTTTTTTTTTAGAATTCTAAATAGATTAGAATTTATATAATTTGGGTTATTTATTATATTTTAATTCGTTATTATTTTGTAATATTTTTTTTTTTTTTTGTATTTAATTTATTTGAAGAATAAAGCAAATTATCATTTATTGATTGATTCAATAAATGTTAATCTTGATTGAAATATTAACTAATATTTGACGGCTGTTTAATTACTCTTGACAAATTGTGCTAATGGTGTTGTTTCGATGATTTCGTCCATCAAGCGTTTTTTTTTTGGAAATAATATTACCATTACTTAACCTTTAAAAAAATTTCTTGATCGCCTGTTTTGGTTACAACCGGGTTTTCCCTTATGTTTCGGTTTTGCCATAACCGAATCCCGCCGATCAATGAACCATGTGAACTCTCAATTACTAAACGATCTCATACCGCAGCTATCCCGAGTCTTGTCTTTACAATTTAAGATTTCAAATCATAAGTACACCCGCGTTGAATAATGTAAACTACCACAATAAAATGTAACTCGAAAAGAGGGAGAATTTTATTAAAAAAATTTTTTTTTTTTGAAAAGATTATACAAACAAAATTTTCATCAATTCATGTTCCAATAGGAGAAAGAGTTTTTGACCACACCACGCGTCTAAGACTTTTTTTTTTTAAAAAAAAAAATAACATTGCAAATTCTTGATACAATCTTACCCTTTCTTTCCCATATGGGAGTAATTTAGTTAGCCAGAGAAACTTTACTTTGTTGTAACTTCTTCGATGGTTTTACCAATCATTTAAATGGCTGTTATTATTTAAAAGTTCACTGCCAATGATGTACTCGTATCTGATACATAACTAAATATTTATTGCTACATATTACAAGGCCTGGATGACAGCTGCTTCTCTCACATAGAAAAATTTCTTTAATGAAATTCAATGTAAATAAATAATTTTTTAAAGTGTAATATTGCTAAATCAAGATTAAAATTAATTTTATAAGAATTTTGTATTGATTTTGTAATATTTAAATTAAGATAAGTAATGATTTAACATATTTGAGATGGTGATTGATTAAAGTCTTTATGCACTTTCATATGACTATATTTTTTTATTATTACAACTTTATAACTTATTAAGAAATTTCATGACTTTTATTAGTAATAAAATATTTTAACTAGTATGTTAATATAAGAATTTTATAATAAATTTATTAAAGGGTTTTGTAATTTATCGCCAGTGATATATAAAGGTGACAAATAGGATTTTTGTTCATCAAAAAACACAGTCCCCGGAATACTTAGTAAAAATGAAGAACCGATGGGCGTGACGCTACGTGACAAATATTCACCACTTGACCCTAAACCTAACCCTAATATAAATTAAGGCTGGCGATATATCGTACTAGCGATAGATTATAATTTTCTTTATTTTAATTAATAAACTTAAAATACCTACTTAAATGATTAAACGATCTTGTTTTTGATATCTTTTATTGATATCACAAATTAAGTTTTTAATATTGAATAAAAATACATATTATTATTTTTATACTTTTGTAATTATTAGTATTATTAAAAATAATTACAGAATTCATGAAAGTTATATTAGTATTATTTTGAAATTAATTCTACTAATGCTTGTGATTAATTTTGTTGATTTTGAGTATTATTTAATTTTTAAAAAAGTTTTCAAATTTATCTTTATACTATTGAAACTATCAATAATTGTATTTTAATCTATATAATCTATATTTTCAAAAAAAAAAATTAAATATAAAAATTAAAAAATATATAGAAGATCGGTCTACTAGGAAAATGTGACTTTAAAACTAAAAATCTTTGAGATTTTTTTTTTATTTTTTTTAAGTAGTTTCACATGATCTTTATTAAAAGTAAGTAAAATTATATAAAATTATAAGACAAGAAAAGAAAATACAAAAACTTCTATTTATTCTAATCTAAATTAAACTAAATCAAAGTCAATCTTGTATCATTTTCATCATTCTAGGCTAATAATCCTTTTCAAAGAAAAGGAAACTCAACTGTTCAGAATAGAAAGCTTAGTTGTTACCTATTCAAAAATTTGACCATATCTAAAGAAGAAAATAAATGAGGAGAAGGAGTTATTAAGGGCGATAAAAATGTAAAAAACTATTAGTTACCCAATTAGATTATTTATCTGAGGTTTAAATATTAATAAGTTCTTTTATTTTGATGAATAATTTACATCTTTATTTTCATAAAATGCTTGTCAAATCAAATATGTGATTGTATATATATGAGATAAGTGTATTAATCAAATCAATATTATTGATAGTATTATAAATACTATCAAAAAATTCAGCAAGAACAATACTTTTAATTATGTCAATAAAACAGAAGTTAGAGGAACTAAATTAGGGATTTCAAATAAAGATAAATAATATATGTTGAAGTTTTAAGTCATTATCTGAATTGAATTTGTGAAATTAGTAGAGCCAAACTGGGGGTTCTGGGGTAAAATCGAAACAATACCCAAAATAGATCTCCAAGCCTTTTTCCAATCAATTTTAGCTATATG